CTGCAACTCTACAGAGCGGGTGAAGGCTGAGGCTGAGGTGTGGTTGGTCAGGGAGAGGGATAGTGAGTTCTCAGGGACCAGCAGGTGAGGTCATGTGTGCACTAGGGTGTGGTCCTGCCCTGCAGGCGGAGGCTGAGCACAGGCTGTGCCGAGCCTGCGTGCCGTGTCTGAGGCTGCAGGCACACGTTCCTCTGCGTTAGTGCGTTGTTCACGTGTGCATCCAGTGTGGTCCTTGCATGTTGTGTGTCCTTGCACTCTGAATGTGTCTGCGTGGTTGTATGTATGTTTTTATGTCTGTGAGCAGATTTTCGATGCTATACACTTACATGTTTGTGAATGTATGCACATATGTGGGCACAAGTTCACATGGTTGTGTGAGTGCACTGTGTGTGCATGGTCATGTGTGTTTCCACATGAGTGTGTCTGTCTGCATGGTTGTGTGTGTTTGCATGTGCCTGAGTGTGGGTTTGCAGGGTTGATGGGTTGCACATTGAGAGCATGCATCTACATGGTTGTGTTCCGTGTGTTTGTACATGTGTGTTTGCATGACTGTGCTTGTGCTTACATTGGTTATTATGTGTGCACCCATGTGAGTGTATGCATGGTAGTGTGTTTGTATGTTTGTGAATGCATATTTGCCTCATGTCTGTGTTTGTACTGTGTAAATGTGTGTCTTTGTGATTGTGTTTGCACATGTGCAAGTCCAGAAACACTGTTGTGTGTGGGTTTGCACATGTCTGCCTGGTTGTGTATGTTGCACTGGGTACATGTGTGCATGGTTCAATGTCTATACATGTGTATTTCTGCGTGGTTGTTTATTTCCATGTGTGTACACTGCTGTGTCTGTGCATGTGCATGAATGTGTGCATGGTTATGTGTGCCTATGCATGTTTGCAGTATGTGCACAGCTGTGTGTTTTCACATGTGCAAGTGCATGGCTGTGTGTGTTTACATGTATGTGGGTATGTGCACGCATGGCTGTGCATGTGTATGTGTGAGTAAGCCCGTTCTCTTTGCCTCCTGCTTGGCCATTGAGACTGTGGCCCTGCCCCATCCTGGGGACGAGCTCTGCTCCATTCTGAGGCATTTCCTTGGCGCTGTTCTCTTTGTGGTCTCCCGGGTCAGAGGCTCCAACTGTCTTGCACAGAGCCGTGTCCCCTGCTCTCTGTCCTGGTCCTGAGTGGACCTGGGCTCTGTCTCCCAGCTCTGGATGATCCCTTGGCAGATGAGGCTGTCAGTGCTTGCGTTGTGCTGGCTCTGAGGGGCACAAGGAGGCTTGTGGGGCCTGCACAGGCAGGGTGTGGGCAGGCACAGAAGAGGAGCAGGGTGCCTGCCCACGGGTGTTACCATGTGCTCCCCTGAGACTTTGCTGGCCTTGAATGTCAAGGGGGCACCCAGAGCCTCTGGGCTTCTGGGCCCAGAACTGGATGCCCTGGCCTGGCTGCCCCAGAATAGGGCTTCCCCAGAGAACCAGGCCACTCCAGGGAGTTTAGGGACAATTTGAAGACAAGGAAAATCACCCCTTAAGGAATCTCCCTTGATGACCAGGGCTGTGCTGCCTCCAAGGCAAAGGCTGGCATGGATAGTGATGGATGGAGTTGCCTCTTGTTAGAGGGGCACAAGTGTTACTGGGGTCCAGAAGAGCCTGGCCTGGTGAGCTATGGATCCCTCAGCGTGGGAGGCAGAGTCTGTTCTGAACCACTTCCGGTTCTCTATGTGTTCGAATGGACACCACAGTCCATCTTGGCCAGGTGCTGAGCCCTTTTACATCGTGTGCAGCCAGCACCACCAGGGCTCTCCATTTCCCTGGCACCTGCTCTGCCCCACTGGACGTTGACCCCAGGCCCCTAGGCCCCTGGCCTATTCTGCTCTCTGTCCCGAGGACCTGTGGACTCTAGGCCTTCTCTGTTATCTGTGTGCAGTTGCCTTGTAAAGCCTCCTCCCCACTGTGGGAGTAGTCCTCTCCCTTTTCAGAGACTAGTGCTCTGGCATGCAGATGGGCTATGTGTCCATTTGTCCATCAGTGTACTCTTAGTTGTTTGCACACTTTGACATTCATCACTGATGCTGCTCTGAACCTGGATGCGCAAATCCCTCTAGTGACCCTGCTCTCTGCTATTTTTGGTGCAAGCCCATGAGCGGTACTTTAATTCTTATGTGTAGATTTTACATTGAAGAAAATGCTCTTTGCAGGGCTTGGTGATCCCTGCCAGCACCATGCGCCCTCTGTTCCCAGGCCAGAGGTCCTGAAGGTCTGGCCAGCAGTGCAGGGCACCTGGATGGGCTGGTGATGACTTGGGCTCAGCCTGCAGCCCAGTGCTGTGGACAGTGCTTGCATCCTCAGATCACGCTGTACGCTGGTTGGAGACAACAGGCTGGGGGTGGCCCCAGAAAAGGATTTGGGGTCCACAGATCTGCCCCAGGGTGTGGGGCTCCTGAGTTTTCTGCAGGTACACATATGCTGGGGCCACTAGGATGGTGCCTAGGCCCTCAAGGTGGGAGGGTGATGGGCCAGGGGCAGGAGGCGGGGCCACAGGACCCCAGCTGTGCAAGCCCAATGCCTGCCCTTGGTGGGCGCTGGGGAGGTACTCACCAAGGACACAGAGCAGGGATCGAGTACTGTGCAAGAGCCTCTGAGGGGCAGGTGGCCTGCAGCCCCCGCCCAGTCTTGGGAGGAATTCTGTTTGCCCTGTGATTCAGAAAGCAAACATACGCAAGCTTCAAATCAGTGTGGCCCCACCACAAAATCAAATTTGCGCTGCCCCTTTTTCCCAGTGCCAGGGTGCAGGCCCTACCCGCACCCCAGACCTATGGGCTTCCTCCCCTGGAGGAGACCCAGAATGATCTCTCCTCCTCCAGGATGGCCCTGCTGGGAAACCCTGTGAATCCACCCTCTGTCAACATGGTCCCCTGGTTGGAGTCACCCACCTGGACAGGAGCCCCTCCCAGGGGCCCACTTTCTGCTCACCAGCTCGGGGGGCCTCTATCTTTCTCACAAGCCATTCTCCAGTTACGGCTCAAAGTCCCACCCTGCAGAAGGACACGGGCTCCCCTACTGCAGACCTCTCTGTCCACTGTCTTGGCGGAGGCACAGAGCCCTGGCTGTCCTGTGTGGGGACCAGATGCAGTGTGGTGGGTGCTGCAAGGTTCATCCACTCACTTTGCCCTCTGAGCTTGAGACAATGTCCCTGGCCCCAGTGCCCCAACTGACTGACACCCTGCAGGGCCCCTTGCAGGGGCCACACCCAGACAAAGTGACGTGCTGGGGTGCTGGGGGTCCTGGCCCTGCTCCCCAGTGGGGGTGGTCAGTGTGTGATGTTTGTGCTGGTGTCTGAGGGTGCTGAGATAGGTGTGCTGCACGGGGAGTCCTGTGGCCAGGACCCTGGCTTCATCCTCAGGGGAGCACAGGCCAGGGCAGGAGGGTGGCTGCAGGTGAATGCCCCTTGGCACTCGGGCCACAACAACTCTGCCCGGTCTATGCATCTAGATGCAGCCGTTTCTCGCCCCTCCTTGGGGCCTGATCCCAACCAGATCTGCCTGGGGTTTAATCTCCCTTGAGTCACCGGGTTTAGCCACCTGAACAAAGGGGCTATTGCATGTTTGCTTCCGGTCCTAAATCGGGGCCAGAGGCAGGATTAGTGGCCTGATGCCCGCATGACAGTGATGCTCTGGGATGTGGTCGAGGCTCCACCCTGCCCGATTCCCGGTGTTCTTTCCGTCTCTATGGTGACACCTGGGGATATAACCCAGCCCTTTCCTGCTGGACTCCAGTGACCTTGTCTTTATCAGATCCTGGCCAGAGCTGAGGCACTTGAGCCAGGGCAGGAGCCTCTGGGGCCTTGGCCATGTGCCCCCTTGTGCCACTGTGTGCAGTTCCCCTTCAGGAGTGAGGTTCGCTGGTTTGGCATGGTCCCCAGCCTGCCACCTCCTTCCCCGAAGTCATGTGGGAGGAAGAGCCTGACTTTGGAGGCCAGGTCTCCAGCTCTGCATTTTGGACCTATGGGCTATGTTGGCTCTGATCCCCAGTCAGGCTGGTTTGGAGCTGAGGGTCCATAAGCCACAAGGGCCCAGGTGAATGGACCCTCTCTGTGTGGATCTGAGGAGTGCCTGGGCCTGGCTTTCTGTGTGGCTAGGCGATCAGCTCAGGTGCCATGCCCCACAGCTCAAATGCTCAAGGATGCCCACCTGGCTAGCATCCTCAGCCCTTCATCCCTCCTTATGCTGTGGGCTCTGGTTGGCCCACCTGTCAGCTGCTGGCCACTCAGCCCAGCTTTGGATGCAGGGACTATGATAACAGAGACTCAGTCTGGGCAGGGGGCCAGATGTGGACCCCATGGTGACTCAGGCCCAGGGCCTTATGCTGGGGACAGGCACTGGCTGTGCTACCTCCTGCCTCTTGGAGATAAAGGGGAGGGCAGGACCTTGTCATCCCCTTGCTGCTACCTGGCCAGCTCATGGCCTGCAGCCCCATGGCCACCACCACACTGGGTGCAGGGCCCTGAGTGCCAGCCTCGAGCCACCCACCCTGCCTTTGGTATATCCTGCTGCCTCTGTCAGCCGCAGGTGATGTGTCCAGGTGAAGCTTAGACGGGGCCTAGCTGTGTCTGGATTCTGAGACCCCAGCCGCTGCCTCTGTACAGGTTCATTCACGCAGGCACGTTCCCCTCACTCGCAGCTCCAGCCTCTCTGAGGCACTTGGGCCCAAGTGGGGCTGAGACTGAGGCCCGGTACCACGTGCACTGTGGCTCAGCCAGAGCCCAGCAGCCTCTGGAGGCAGCAGTACATCCTCAGCCAGCTCCACAGAGGTGCCGGAGCCCTTGGGTGGGGTCAAGTGGCAGGGGCCTGTAGTGGCCCCACCCTCCACCAAGGTGACCCAGGGTGAGCTTCCCATGTTTACCCTGGCAAGGGGTTGTCCCGCCTTCCAGGGAGCCCCTACAAAAGGCCGCCACCACCCAGTACCTCCTCAGAGGCTATCACGGGGATTGTCTCCAAGCTCACCCATGGGTGCTGGCCACAGGACGCTGGCCGTGCTCTGGGCCCTGGCACTGGCCTGTGCCCAACACTCAGGTGAGATTGCGGTCCAGGCAGTTCATGTGGCCATGTGCACGGCTGGAGGCTGCAGCTCCTGGCTGGGCACAGGACCCATATCTCGGAGCCCTCGACCTGCTGGGTGTCTTGAGATCTTACCTAGGTCTGTCCCCAGGGTCCTGTGACACCTGGAGGATCCCTCCAACCTGGGTGGTAGGTCCCTGCTTCTGTGCAGGTGTGGTGGTGGCAGAGCCTCTGGGTGCATGTGGAATGAGGTCAATGGCAGAGGAAGCTGCAGACCCCCTCCTGGCCGCCTCTTCCCTGGGTGTGGGCTCTCCTTGGGGACCTCAGTGCCCATGCTGGATGCCTCCCCGGGGCTGGGACCCTCCCCGGATGTCCAGAGGAGGGTTGGCAGAGGCAGGAGAGGGCGAGGGCCAGAGCTCATAAGGGCAGGGATGGTACCTGCCTTGATGTGAGTGGTCTCTCACTGGCCTACCTGCTGCCTTAGGGTGAGGGTTGAGGTTAAGGTTAGGGTCGGGCTGGGATTTCCCCGCTGCTCATGCTGCCCTTGATGTCCTTGCTGCCCAGGCCTCACTAGCCCCTGACTGAAACTGCAGGAATGGAACTCTGAGGGGACTGTGTGGGGAGGCAGAGGAGGAAGCTGCAAATGCACATGGGGGACCTTCTCCTCCATCCTCTGTGTGCATCTCCCGGCCACCAGCCCTCACAGGAAGTGTTGGCAGCTGCCTTGGGGCAGCACGATATGGGGGGTAGGGTGCCGAGACAGGCCAGGAGTGGGTAGGGGTGCTTGGGATGAAGTGAGGTAGCCCTGCCCAAGACCCTCTGTGCAGGAGTAGGGGCCGGGAGTGCCAAGCCACGCTGAGGGCCAGGCCATGTCGCTGGTACCTGGTGATGTCGTGAACCTGGATCTGTGTCGTAGGGAAGCCCTCAGAGCTCTGACATCCCTGGCTGTAGCTGTGCTGCATGGTTCTTCAGCCAACTGCTTCCCAGGCCAGAGTCCAGGCTCCATCCCTGAGCCCCTAGCACGGCACAGTGCCTGGTGAGGGCAGGTGCTAGGCATCACCAATGATGGGGCAGTGGAGGATCCAGCAGTCAGTTAGGGTGATCTCAGTTACCAGGCTCCATAGACAGAGGTGCCCTGCACCCTGCTTAGGCGCTGCTCTCTACTGCAGGCTGGGCCCAGGACTCCTCGAAATCCAGCCATGAGATCTCCCCCGACCTCTCTTCCCACGGAGGACATAGCGGTGAGTCTCAGCCCTCTGTGCCCCAGGCCAGCTGATCCTGACCTACCCCAGTGGCCACTGTGAAGGCTCAGGATATGGGGGGCTGGGGGCACCTGGCCTGAATGGCCTGTCCCTCCCCAGCCCAGCCCCTGTGAGAGCCACAGAAATGCTGCCAGATGTCCTCTACTTCAAAGGCCCCAAGCTGAGGCTTTTCTGGGGAGAGGGCAGTGGCAGGGCCATCTATAGCTCCACACAGGAATGCAGGGCAGAGGATGGGGGAAGCGGGCAGCCAAGTGTCCATGCAAGGGGTCTGGGGCTCCGGGGCTAACTTGGCCTCTTGTTTACATTTGCTGAAAGCCAGGCCACACTGGAGAAGCCTGCTCCTAGGTCTGGCTTCTGAGACTGGATAGACTGGGGCCTCTGAGATCTTGGGGCAGACGGATGGTTCTCGGCCCCAGGGTGTCCCTGCACTGCATCCCATGTGCCTGATGCTCAAGGTGCTGCACCCGACGGGAGGGGCTCCCACCTTGGACACTTCCCATAAATCCTGTCTCCATAGGCCACACACTCCTTGGGGTGACCATCCTCCCCCGTCAGACGACCGTCCCTGTACTTCGAGGTGAGGCATGCCCTCAAGGTGGTGCCATGGGGAGCACCTTAGGGACTGGCGGGGCTTGGTATAGAAGTGAGCTGGCAGAAAATGGGGTTCCCATTTCTGGAGTGGCACTGAGCAAGTTTGGAAAGGGGACAGAGTCACTGCTGGATGTTCCTAGGGCTCCTTGAGGCAGGCAGAGTCCAGATATGGCCCTGGGGGCCCAGGGCTGTAAGGGGCTGGGCACAGGGCGGGCGCCTGGCAGTCGCCCACTTTCCGGCTCCCCACAGCCCTAAACCCGGCGCACACCGGGCGTGTCTGCAGCACCTGGGGCGACTTCCACTATAAGACCTTCGACGGTGCCATCTTCCGCTTCCCTGGCCTCTGCAACTACGTGTTCTCTGCACACTGTGGTGCTGCCTACGAGGACTTCAACGTGCAGCTGCGCCGCGGCCCCATGCCCAACGCCACAGCTCCCAGCAGGGTCATCATGAAGCTCAATGGCCTGGTTGTTGAGCTGACCAGGGACTCCGTCTTGGTTGGTGGCCACCGGTGCGTCTGGGGCCAGGAGAGAGCAGGGCATGGAGTCCAGGAAGGGACAGGGTGGTGGCCAGGCCCAGCTCTCCAGGGACACAGTGGTGGGGGACCCTCCTGGTGGAGTCACCTCCTGTCCTAACCCTCAGCCCCTCCCCCAGGGTTCAGCTGCCCTTCAGCCAGGCTGGGGTCCTCATAGAGCGCAGCAGTGGCTATGTGAAGGTGGTGGCCAAGCTGGGCCTGGTGTTCACGTGGAACCAGGATGACAGCCTCACGGTGAGGGCGGGCAGGGGGCAGACAGAACCTCCCAGAGCATGGAGGTGCCCCCTCCTGACGCCCTTTCCAGGGAGGCACAAAGGGTTCTGGGCAAGGAGGGTGAGAAGGCTGGTCCCCCACATAGCAGGTGAATGAAGATGGGGATCCAGGTGCCAGCAGAGCCCAGGAGCTGTGCCCCAAGGAGGACCTGCCTGTGGGGCTTTGTGTAGCCCATGGGGAGGGACCTTCAGACACGTCCCCTCCAGGAGACCTCAGCCCCTCCATGGGGATTCTCCTCTCGAGTGCTCGGGTACCTGCTGGGGCCAGGGTCTGATGTCCTCCCTAATTGTAGCTGGAGCTGGACTCCAAATATGCCAACAAGACCTGCGGGCTCTGCGGAGACTTCAACGGAGTCACAGAGGTTGGCGAGTTCCTGTCCCACAGTAAGCCCCACACACCTCCCCGCTGGGAACACACATGATCCCACATGCACACCTGTGCTCACATGCCTTAGCACCTGCTCACACTGTGCACGTGCACAGACCTGTGGCTCCTGAGTGCATGCGACCACAAATGCCTGTCAGGCCCCAGGACCTTGGTGGCCGAGCTGCACCCTGCCCTATGTCCCTGCCTCTGGCCCATGGAGTCCCAATAGCCCTCCAGCAAGGGGTGCCTGGCCATCCTCAGTGAGGGCCTCTGGGATGCAGTTTGGGGTCCAGGGCCCACAGCAGTGCTGCTCTGTGTTCCCTGAAGTTGCCAGGTTGACTCCTCTGGAGTTTGGAAACCTGCAGAAGATGGATGGCCCCACAGAGCAGTGCCAAGACCCCAACCCCACACCCCAGAACTGCTCCGCCAATCTCGTAAGCCTCAGAGAGCTCAGGCAGTGGGGAGGGCAGGAGTGGATACCTCTGTGGGGCTGGGCCTGACTACTGGGATCCTGACCACCCCCAGACCATCTGCGAGGAGCTGCTAAACAGCCGGCCATTTGTGGGCTGCACCGACCTGGTGGAGGTCAGCGGCTTCATTGAAGCCTGCCAGCAGGACCTCTGTCACTGCGAGAGCACTCACCTTCCTGACTGCCTCTGCCACACCCTCGCCGAGTTCTCCCGGCAATGCGCCCATGCTGGCGGGCAGCCCCTGGACTGGCGGAGTGCAGACCTCTGCCGTGAGTGCCCTGCCCTGTCACCCTGTCCCATCCCAGGCAGGCAGGAAAGGGGCCTGACTTGAGCCCCCCCTCCCCCCTTCCCCCCGCAGCCCAGATGTGCTCATCCGGCATGCGGCACCAGGAATGTGGCTCGCCCTGCACCGACACCTGCTCCAACCCCCAGCGCTCCCAGCTGTGCGAGGACCACTGTGTGGCCGGCTGCTTCTGCCCCGAGGGTGAGCCTGCCCCTCAACATGGGGCCTCTGGGCTGGTCTGAGTCCTGCCGGCCTGGTCCCATGTTGCCGCTCCCTGCAGGGATGGTGCTGGACGACATCCACCACGCTGGGTGCATTCCTGTGTCCCAGTGCGCCTGTGTGTACAATGGGGCCCGCTATGCACCGGGCGCCAACTACTCCACAGACTGCACCGAGTGGTAGGTCTGGGGCTGCCCTGCCCAAGTCCCAGCTGCTAGAGGCGGCCTCAGCCTGGGAGGCTGTGCAGCTGCTGTCCTCAGTCCCAAACGGGCCATCTCCTCCCGCCATGTGCAGCACCTGCACTGGAGGTCACTGGCACTGCCAGGAGCTGCCATGCCCTGGGACCTGCTCGGTGCTGGGCGGCGCCCACTTCTCCACCTTTGATGAGAAGCAGTACACAGTACACGGAGACTGCAGCTACGTGTTGACCAAGGTATGGGAGCCTGGCCCCTCCCCCCCAGCTTCACACCCTGCTGCACTGGGGAGACTGCAGCACCCCCAGGATTGGGCTTGAGGAGGTGCTCAGCCTCTGGGGCCTGCAGGCCTCTGGGCTCCTGGCCAGACCACTGGGTGACCCCTCTGACCTGCGGTTTTACTCTACACTAGGTTATGTTTTAGGTTCATAAATAAGTTGAGCAGAAAATACGGAAACCCCACATACCCTAACCGTCTCCCCTATTACTAACATTTCTGAAGCACTTGTCATCATGGATGAGATGAACTTGACACGCCACCATCCTCATTGTCCATGGGGACCACATGTATGACGTCCTGTGTCTTCCATCAGCACCACACAGACCAACATCACTGTCCTGACATGCTAGGCCCATCCCTGCCACCCTCCTCACCCTTGAAAATCACATGGGCCTTTCCCTAGAGGCCCCTGCACTGGCATCCCATGGTGGCCACCTTCTCCAGGGCCAGTCCCCACCTGGCACTGCAGGGTGTCTCCCTTCCTTCTGATGGTGGGGTTTAGCCCAGGCATCACACAGGTGGAGGGGGCGGGAGGGGCGCCCAGGGGAGGGGCTCTGTGGACAGGGTGGTGGTGAGAGCTGTCAATGCCTGTATCCCTGAAGCCCTGTCAGGGCAATGCCTTCGCCGTGCTGGCCGAGCTGCGCCGGTGTGGGCTGACGGACAGTGAGACCTGCCTGAAGAGCGTGACGCTGAGCCTGGGCGGGGGGCAGATGGTGAGTGTGGGTTGGGCTCCTCTGCCTGAGCCAAGGCCTACCTCGTGAGCATAGTGTGGGGCCGCAGGACCCAATGTTCATGGAGTCTTCCGAGTTACTGAGTGACTGTCCCCAGGCAGGGCTGAAGCCTCCCCCGCCCCCCGCCCCCCGCTCCCTTCCCGATCACAGGGAAAAGTGGGTCGAGGCCCTGCTGAAATTGATTCTGTATAAATTAACTTTGGCTTTTGCATAGTTTAAAAAAATGTTTGGTCCTCATGGACAGTTTGGAAAACTAGGATGAGCCCAGGGCAGAAACAGGCTGTTAGCCCACCTTGGTGGGGTGCATGGTGCTCCCAGCAGGAACAGGCCCAGTGTGCAGCCCCTGGGGCCAGGACATAGGGTCCTGCGTGGCCCTGGGCTGACCTCACTGCTGCTGCCTCCAGGTGGTGGTAGTGAAGGCCAGCGGGGAAGTGTTCATGAACCAGATCTACATCCAGCTGCCAGTCTCTGCAGGTGAGCTCCAACCCCTGCATGGGCTGCTGTGGGTCCCAACCACCCAGGCAGTGAGATGTGCCCTCTGTATCCACAGCCAATGTCACCATCCTGAAACCCTCAACTTTCTTCATCATCGTGGAGACCAACCTGGGGCTGCAGCTGCATGTCCAGCTGGTGCCCACCATGCAGCTGTTTGTGCAGCTGGCATCTGAGCTCCAGGGACAGACCTGTGGTAGGAGGCCACCCTGAGGTCCCCAAATTGCTTTCAAGCCTGTGCCCAAGCCCCACAGGGCCTCAAGTGCCTTCCTGTCCTAGGTCTCTGCGGGAACTTCAACAAGAACCAGGCTGATGACTTCCGGACCATCAGCGGGGTGGTGGAGGGCACAGGCGCTGCTTTCGCCAACACCTGGAAGACCCAGGCCTCCTGCCCCAATGCCAAGAGCAGCTTTGAGGACCCCTGCTCGCTCAGCGTGGAGAATGGTGTGTGGCGTGTACCTGGGTGCCCCAGTGCCAAGCAGAGGCAGTGTCCATGCTGCCCACTAGATCTTGCCAGCTGCTGCTGCTTTATCCAGGGCCAAGCATGGGTCCCTGCTTCAGGGTAACAGGAAGGACGTAAGTCCAGGTCTCAGATACTGGTGATCCTGGCATGCAGCCCCTAGACAGGGCTGGGGTGGGGAGCTGGCACTGGGCCTGCTTTGTCCCCTCCCTCCATGGCCCAGAAAGCAGGTAGTCCTTGTGCCCCCAGGAAGGGCTGGGCACAGGGAAGGTGGTGATGCCATGGTTTCATCCCGCCCCATGCTTTGGGGGCCGCTGTGTCTCTGCCTTTGGTGTTGCCTATAATGTGACCAAGTGTGGCTGTGCCAGGTGCCTATAGCACTAGGCAGAAGCCACAAAGGCACGTGGTGGACGACAGCTCCTCTGTCCACAGAGAAGTACGCCCAGCACTGGTGCACACTGCTGACAGACGCCAAGGGCCCCTTTGCCCAGTGCCATGCCACTGTGAGCCCTGACTCCTACTACTCGGTAAGGCTCTTGGACCCTACTGCTGCCATGGCCCTGCATGGCCTCGTGTGGTCTTGAGGTGCCCAGGGAGGCTGGCAGGCACCACGTGACTGCTTCAAGGGCCACGCAGGTCCAAGGTCAAGCCTGACTCCCTGCTCCAACCCACCCCTACTCATTCATCCATCCCTGGCCAGATCCCAAGGTTGCAGAATGCGGACGGTGGTGGAGCTGAGCTTGGCCTCTGAGTCACAGAGCTAAGGGGAGGCTGGGCCCATGAAGCCTGGCTCCCAAATGCCAGTACAAGTTCCCTGAGGCTGTAGGGCTTGGGAGGGCACTAGAGGGGCACAGGGACACATGATATGGGGCTGGCTCCTGACGTTCCGCCCGCCCCCAGAACTGCATGTTCGACACCTGCAACTGCGAGAGGAGCGAGGACTGCCTGTGTGCTGCGCTGTCCTCCTACGTGCATGTCTGCGCCACCAAGGGCGTGCTGCTCCATGGCTGGCGAGATGGTGTCTGCAGTAAGTGCCCCGTGCCTGTCTAGAGGCCCCTACTGCCCCACCTGTGGGTCCAGGCCCCCTGGGTCTGAGTGTCTCTCTTCCTGCTCCCCAGCGAAGCCCACCACCACCTGCCCCAAGTCGATGGTCTACCAGGAACACCTCAGCACCTGCCAGCCCACCTGCCGTGGCCTGAGTGAGACGGATGTCACCTGCAGTGTGTCCTTTGTGCCTGTGGACGGCTGCGCCTGCCCCACAGACACCTTGCTGGACAAGGCAGGCATGTGTGTGCCAGCTCACGAGTGTCCCTGTTACCACAGGGGCTCTGTGGTTCCCAATGGAGAGTCTGTGCATGACAGTGGGACCGTTTGGTGAGGCCTTGGTCCAGGGGTGGGGAGGGAACCCCCCTACTCCCTAAGGGACACTTGAGCTCACCACCCTCTCCTTCCAGCACCTGCACACAGGGTGTGCTGACCTGCATTGGGGAGCTCACGCCCAGTCCAGGTGAGCCCAGTTCCTGTACCATGAGACACCCCAGGCTGGTGGGGAATGAGGGGTGCGGGCTGCCCTACACATGTGTGGAACACAGACACACACACAATACACGATGCAATGTGTACAACTCCCACCTGGAGCACAGGCAGGCACACACTTGGCCATCTGGAACACCATAGCCTGAGTCCCTGAGCAGGCCCAAGGGTTGCACTGGGGTCCCCTAAGTGCCATCCCCTCCACAGTGTGTGATGCGCCTATGGTGTACTTCGACTGCCACAATGCCACGCTAGGGGCTGCTGGGGCTGGCTGCCAGAAGAGCTGTCACACGCTGGACATGGCCTGCGTGAGTGCTGCTTACTCCGGGGGCACCATGGCCCTCAGCCACTCCTTGTGGCCCCTGTAGGTGTCATGTGGTCCTGATTGGGGCTGCTGGGTACCCTCTCAGGCGACAGTGTCTGAATTTGGCTCTGGGCTCGTGGCTCCCATGGCTCTGCATCCTGTGGCCACCTCACTCTCGGGCACATGGGGGGGCCTGCTGACCATCGCTGCCCCCTGAGCCGTGTGCACACACCCCACAGTACAGCACCCAGTGCATCTCTGGCTGCGTGTGTCCTGATGGGCTGGTGGTAGATGGTGATGGAGGCTGTATCACTGAGGAGCACTGTCCCTGTCTACACAATGAGGCCAGCTACCAGTCCGGGGAGACCATCCTTGATGGTTGCAATACCTGGTAGGTGGAGCTGAGCCCCAGGGTTGAGGCTGCCACCTGTACTCCAGAGAGAGGCACAGAGTGAGCAGCACAGGGCCTGGAGGATGAGTAGGCTCGGCAGCCTGGGCTGGAAACCCTGGTGGCATCAAGATCTGTCTGACCCCGCACCCCCACAGCACCTGTGAGAACCGGACATGGCACTGCACGGACGAGCCCTGTCTGGCCACCTGTGCCGTCTATGGAGATGGCCATTTTCTTACCTTTGATGGGCAGCGTTACACCTTCAACGGGGCCTGCGAGTACACACTGGTGCAGGTGAGAGGCCGCTAGGTGCTCTCGGACTCCTGACTGGGGGTCCCAGTCCACTGATCACAGCTTCTGCTCCTCAGGACCAGTGTGGCAGGAATGTCAGTGCCTGGGACGCCTTCCGTGTGGTCACAGAGAACATCCCCTGTGGCACCACGGGGACCACTTGCTCCAAGGATATCAAGATCTTCTTGGGGGTGCGAGGGGCTTGTGGGGTGGGAATGGGGTGAGTGGTGGGTGGGAAGGGGTCCCTTCCACATGCTGAAGCAACCCTGTCATGCAGAGCTATGAGCTGAAGCTGAATAGTGGGAAGGTGGAGGTGGTCCAGATGGGCACCGGGCAGGAGCCACCCTATACCGTATACCAGATGGGCATCTACCTGGTGGTGGACACTCACATTGGCCTCGTGCTGCTCTGGGACCGGAAAACCAGTCTCTTCCTCAGGCTCAGCCCCGAGTTCAAGGTGAGGTCCAGCAAGGGAGGCCACTGCCATCAGCCCCATGGGCTCTGCTGGACACTTGGACACAGGTGGGGGGACAAAGACAGAGAGACACAGAGACAGGGAGACAGAGGCAAAGGAACAGAGACAGAGAGACAGAACAGAGACAGAGAGAGAGGTGGTGGTGAAAGAAGCACAGACAGATAGACTGAAAAAGAGACAGAGATGGCAGAGATGGAGAAAGTAAGCAAGCCTGAGAGATGCCGGGCAGAGCACTGGAGACCCTGGTGGACAGGGTGGGCAGCCAGAGCATTTTGGCTCCCTCTTTGCACTGCTGGCCACAGCCCGGCCACAGTGCTCTGTAGTCCCCTGCAGTGACCAGGCCTCACCTGCAGTTTGAGTCAGGGGAGGAGGGAGGAGGCACTCGTGCAGGAGCAGGAGTCACCGGCAAGCCCGGTCCAAGTCTCTACCTGCAGCTCCAGCTCCAGACAGGGAAGGTGGGGGCCAGTGTGCATGCCAGGGTGCCAGTGGCCTCTCCTTCACCCTCTTTCTTCTTCAGGGAAGGGTCTGTGGCCTGTGTGGGAACTTTGACAACAATGCCGTCAATGACCTGACTACACGCAGCCAGGCTGTGGTGAGCGACACGCTGGAGTTCGGGAACAGCTGGAAGCTGTCACCCTCCTGCCCGGACGCCCTGGCACCCAAGGACCCCTGCACGGCCAATCCATACCGCAGGTCCTGGGCCCAGAAGCAGTGCAGCATCATCAACAGCGCCACTTTCGCCGCCTGCCATGCCCATGTATGCCTGTGAGGGCAGTGGCTGAGAAAGGGAAGGGCTGGTGTCATCAGCAGTGGGGGCTGGATGCAGGGGACTGCCGATAGCTCTCCTGGCCATGGCTTCACAGCTGTGCCACTGAAGCTGGCCAGGGTCCCACTGGTCTGGGGACCATGACGGGCCTGGCTGGCTGCCTGTGCTTAGGCACTGGACAACTGGCACAGGTCACCCACCCAGCCCGATCCCTCTAGAGCCCAGGGGAGCTGCAGTCCTGGTGTCTGAACCCTGTGTCCCTCAGGTGGAGCCAGCCAAATACTATGAGGCCTGCGTGAGTGATGCATGCGCCTGTGACTCAGGGGGTGACTGCGAGTGCTTCTGCACTGCCGTGGCCGCCTATGCCCAGGCCTGCCACACAGTGGGGGTGTGTGTGTCCTGGAGGACGCCCGAAGTCTGCCGTGAGTGCACAGGCTGGGTGCGGGATGCTGGTTTAGGAGCTGAGGACCCTGGCGAGGCCCAGGGCAGGGCTGGGCCGGCTTCTCGGAGGCTGGGGGAGCCCCTGCTGGCGGGCACAGGGATGGTGGCTAGTCTTCAGGGTGCAGTCTGGGCTGAGCCCTCTCTACCCTCCTTCCAGCTCTCTTCTGTGACTTCTACAACCCTGAAGGCGAGTGTGAGTGGCACTACGAGCCCTGTGGGGTGCCCTGCCTGCGTACCTGCCGGAACCCCAGCGGCCGCTGCCTGCATGACCTTCGCGGCCTGGAAGGTGGGTTGGGCTGTGTGTGAGGGGCTGGGGTCTATCCTGTGGCTGGTAGGTGCTGGGGACAGATGGAGACCTTCCTGGCCCACAGGTTGTTACCCTACATGCCCCTCGGAGGCCCCCATCTTCGACGAGGACAAGAGGCAGTGCGTGGCCAAGTGCTCCTTCCACCACTTCTGCACCGTCAATGGGAAGTCATACCAGCCAGGCGAGACAGTGCCCTCTGGAGAGAACTGTTACTCCTGGTGAGTCCCTGTGGGAGGCACATGGCCGGGTACACCAACCCCCAGTGGCCTTGTCCCTGTGGCCTGAGTATCCTGGCTGGCTTTGGGGCAACTTAGAGGCCTCCAGGGCCATGCAGAGGGGGATGCTGAGCCAAGACAGCACCCAGGGATGCAAGGGTAATGCCCCTCAACCCACACATGGCCATGGCCTGAGGTCTTGTCCCTTGCCCGGTCACTGCTGGGGTCTCACTGGGGTTTGTGATTGTGGAGAAGGGGCTCGGCAGCGACTGTAGTGACTGCCTCGGCCACCAGCACTGGGCCCAGGGTCCCTAATGTCAACCCCTTCTTCCCCTCACCAGTGTCTGCACTGAGAGTGGTGTGAACTGCACCTATGATACCAAGGGTGAGCAGCCACGGGCAGCCAGGGCTGGGCAGGGGCCCCATCTGCGACCCAGCCCCTCATGGGCCATTGCTATTCCCTACAGCCTGCTTCTGCACCTATGATGGGCAGCGCTTCCAGCCAGGGGCCGAGATCTACCACACGTCAGATGGCATAGGTGGCTGCCTCTTCGCAAGCTGTGGAGTCAATGGCACCGTGGACAGGAAGGTCTACGCCTGCGGCTTTGGCAGCACCATGCCGCCCACCACCTTCACCTTCTCCACGGTGTCCGAGGGTAAGACTGCTGTCCACAGGGTAACTGCTCCTTCATACCACTGGTCACCCTGCAGCCTCCCTGCTGCTCAGCCCACAGGGAGACTGCCTGGGCAACAGGTACCCTGGGACCTCACCCTTCCAGGGTCTCAGGCCTGTGGGCATCACCAAGGCCTCCCTCAGTGAAGAGCCGGGAGCCCTGGCTTGAGAGGTACAAATGATGGCTCTGCCTGGGGCCAGCCAGAGTGAGTCCCCTGGATGGATGAGCTTGTGTTTGGCTGTGTCCTGTGCTATCACTGCCAGGTTGGACCCAAGCTGATGGCCAGGCAGCTCATGTGGGGGGGGGGAACACTGAGGCCAGGGTGTAGGGAGGTGAGTGTGGCCCCTGACACCCAGCCCTTCTGCTCACAGCCAAGAGCTCAAAGCACCCCCCGGACACACATTCCCCTCGCACCCGGAGCACAGGACACTCAAGCCCTCAGAGCAGCACTCCGTCCCCTGCCACCCACATGACCCACAAGGAGACACCAGCCAAGGCCTCCACAACCACCTGGCCTTGTGGGGAGTGTGTGTGGTCTGCATGGCTGGACATCAGTCACCCTGGACGTGGCATCAACAGTGGGGACTTTGACACGCTGGAGAACCTCCGTGCCCACGGGCACCAGCTGTGCCAAGCACCCAAGGAGGTGCAGTGCCGGGCAGAGGATGCCCCTGAGGTGCCCCTCAGTGTCCTAGGGCAACGTGTGGAGTGCAGCCCCACCGTGGGGCTGATCTGCCACAACCAGGACCAGGTATCGGGCCTCTGTGACAACTACCAGATCCGGGTCCTGTGCTGCCATGAGGTGCCCTGTTCCACAGCCTCCTCCTCCACCCCTGCCATACCCACGGACCAAGCCACGATCCCCACTGCCTTGGGGAGCACTTTGTCAGATAGAACCAGGACCTGGACCTCTAGCCTGCAGCTGTCGCCAAGTACCTCGTCCTGTCGACAGGAGCACTGCACTTGGACTTCGTGGATTGACAGCAGCTACCCCGGGCCCAGCAGAGACAGCGGAGACTTTGACACCTTAGCTGATCTGCGGGCCCGAGGATACAAGTTCTGTGCCAAGCCCCGGAAAGTGGAGTGCCGAGCACAGTTTTTCCCCAACACGCCCCTGGCTGAGCTAGGACAGCAGGTGACCTGCGACACAGAGGTGGGGCTTCTCTGCTTGAACCGAGAGCAACTACCACCGATCTGCTACAACTACGAGATCCGAATACAGTGCTGTGAGTGGGTAGACAGGTGCACGGAGACCCCAGGGAACTCTGCAACTTCGACCACCACTCAGCCCACGGTGTATTCGGCCAGCACCCCCACACAGGGAGTGCAAACGAATGAGGCGTTCACCAGCAGGACCACCACCTTCACACCGCCGGGCAATACACATTGCCAGCCCCAGTGCTCCTGGAGCCCCTGGTTTGACGTGGACTCGCCCAAGCCAGGGCCGCAAGGTGGGGATGTGGAGACCTACCAGCACATCCTCCAGAGGGGACGCAGCATCTGCCACCGGCCCGAGGAGGTGACCAGGCTGCAGTGCCGTGCCCGGCTCTACCCCGAGGTCCCCATCGCCACCCTGGGCCAGGTGGTGCAGTGTGACCGGGACGTGGGCCTGGTGTGCCACAACCGTGACCAGCAGGGACCCGAGGGGCAGTGCCTGGACTACGAGGTGCGCGTGCTTTGCTGCCGAGTGCCCGATGGCTGCCCCACCTTGCCACCTGTGACCACGGCCACACAGGAGGGCACCACCAGCCACAGCCCATCACCTGAGGCCTCCACCAGAGGAACCAGCGAAACCTCCACAAGCATAGCAGCCTCCAGGAGGGCAGTCAGCTCACACTCTGTGCACACAGCCCGCTCCTCCACCACTGAGACACCCAGCACCTCCTCCATCAGCACAACCACGTCCACTTCTGCTTCCATCTCCACGGCCACCTCCACGGCCACCTCCAGAGCTCAGCCCAGCACCTCCTCCACCTCCAAGACCACCTCCACCTCTAGCATCACTTCCACCTCCACCCCTAGCTCTACCTACATTGGTGCCTCCTCCTCCCCATCCACCACCACCTCCACCCCTAACACCACCCCCACCTCCACACCTAGTCCCACAGCACACCACAGCACCACCACCATCCCCACCACCACTACCCGCTTTGCTTCTACCTCCACCATAAGATCCAGGTCCCACACCCTCACCACTCCTGTCTCTGGGCCCACCGTGAGTCATACATCCTCAGTCACCATCTCAGGCCCTGGCACCTCAGACTGCAGGCCACAATGCTCCTGGAGCCCCTGGTTTGATGTGGACTCGCCCAAGCCAGGGCCTCAAGGTGGGGATGTGGAGACCTACCAGCACATCCTCCAGAGGGGACACAGCATCTGCCACCGGCCCGAGGAGGTGACCAGGCTGCAGTGCCGTGCCCGGCTCTACCCCGAGGTCCCCATCGCCACCCTGGGCCAGGTGGTGCAGTGTGACCGGGACGTGGGCCTGGTGTGCCACAACCGTGACCAGCAGGGACCCGAGGGGCAGTGCCTGGACTACGAGGTGCGCGTGCTTTGCTGCCGAGTGCCCGATGGCTGTCCCACCTTGCCACCTGTGACCACGGCCACACAGGAGGGCACCACCAGCCACAGCCCATCACCTGAGGCCTCCACCAGAGGAACCAGCGAAACCTCCACAAGCATAGCAGCCTCCAGGAGGGCAGTCAGCTCACACTCTGTGCACACAGCCCGCTCCTCCACCACTGAGACACCCAGCACCTCCTCCATCAGCACAACCACGTCCACTTCTGCCTCCATCTCCACGGCCACATCCAGAGCTCAGCCCAGCACCTCCTCCACCTCCAAGACCACCTCCACCTCTAGCATCACTTCCACCTCCACCCCTAGCTCTACCTACATTGGTGCCTCCTCCTCCCCATCCACCACCACCTCCACCCCTAACACCACCCCCACCTCCACACCTAGTCCCACAGCACACCACAGCACCACCACCATCCCCACCACCACTACCCCCTCTGCTTCTACCTCCACCATAAGATCCAGGTCCCACACCCTCACCACCCCTGTCTCTGGGCCCACCGTGAGTCATACATCCTCAGTCACCATCTCAGGCCCTGGCACCTCAGACTGCAGGCCACAATGCTCCTGGAGCCCCTGGTTTGATGTGGACTCGCCCAAGCCAGGGCCTCAAGGTGGGGATGTGGAGACCTACCAGCACATCCTCCAGAGGGGACACAGCATCTGCCACCGGCCCGAGGAGGTGACCAGGCTGCAGTGCCGTGCCCGGCTCTACCCCGAGGTCCCCATCGCCACCCTGGGCCAGGTGGTGCAGTGTGACCGGGACGTGGGCCTGGTGTGCCACAACCGTGACCAGCAGGGACCCGAGGGGCAGTGCCTGGACTACGAGGTGCGCGTGCTTTGCTGCCGAGTGCCCGATGGCTGCCCCACCTTGCCACCTGTGACTACGACCACACAGGAGGGCACCACCAGCCACAGCCCATCACCTGAGGCCTCCACCAGAGGAACCAGCGAAACCTCCACAAGCATAGCAGCCTCCAGGAGGGCAGTCAGCTCACACTCTGTGCACACAGCCCGCTCCTCCACCACTGAGACACCCAGCACCTCCTCCATCAGCACAACCACGTCCACTTCTGCCTCCATCTCCACGGCCACCTCCACGGCCACCTCCAGAGCTCAGCCCAGCACCTCCTCCACCTCCAAAACCACCTCCACCTCTAGCATCACTTCCACCTCCACCCCTAGCCCTACCTACATTGGTGCCTCCTCTTCCCCATCCACCACCACCTCCACCCCTAACACCACCCCCACCTCCACACCTAGTCCCACAGCACACCACAGCACCACCACCATCCCCACCACCACTACCCGCTCTGCTTCTACCTCCACCATAAGATCCAGGTCCCACACCCTCACCACCCCCGTCTCTGGGCCCACCATGAGTCACACATCCTCAGTCACCATCTCAGGCCCTGGCACCTCAGACTGCAGGCCACAGTGCTCCTGGAGCCCCTGGTTTGACGTGGACTCGCCCAAGCCAGGGCCTCAAGGTGGGGATGTGGAGACCTACCAGCACATCCTCCAGATGGGACACAGCATCTGCCACCGGCCCGAGGAGGTGACCAGGCTGCAGTGCCGTGCCCAGCTCTACCCTGAAGTCCCCATCGCCACCCTGGGCCAGGTGGTGCAGTGTGACCGGGACGTGGGCCTGGTGTGCCACAACCGTGACCAGCAGGGACCCGAGGGGCAGTGCCTGGACTACGAGGTGCGTGTGCTTTGCTGCCGAGTGCCCGATGGCTGCCCCACCTTGCCACCTGTGACCACGGCCACACAGGAGGGCACCACCAGCCACAGCCCATCACCTGAGGCCTCCACCAGAGGAACCAGCGAAACCTCCACAAGCATAGCAGCCTCCAGGAGGGCAGTCAGCTCACACTCTGTGCACACAGCCCGCTCCTCCACCACTGAGACACCCAGCACCTCCTCCATCAGCACAACCACGTCCACTTCTGCCTCCATCTCCACGGCCACCTCCACGGCCACCTCCAGAGCTCAGCCCAGCACCTCCTCCACCTCCAAGACCACCTCCACCTCTAGCATCACTTCCACCTCCACCCCTAGCCCTACCTACATTGGTGCCTCCTCCTCCCCATCCACCACCACCTCCACCCCTAACACCACCCCCACCTCCACACCTAGTCCCACAGCACACCACAGCACCACCACCATCCCAACCACCACTACCCCCTCTGCTTCTACCTCCACCATAAGATCCAGGTCCCACACCCTCACCACCCCTGTCTCTGGGCCCACCGTGAGTCACACATCCTCAGTCACCATCTCAGGCCCTGGCACCTCAGACTGCAGGCCACAGTGCTCCTGGAGCCCCTGGTTTGACGTGGACTCGCCCAAGCCAGGGCCTCAAGGTGGGGATGTGGAGACCTACCAGCACATCCTCCAGAGGGGACACAGCATCTGCCACCAGCCCGAGGAGGTGACCAGGCTGCAGTGCCGTGCCCGGCTCTACCCCGAGGTCCCCATCGCCACCCTGGGCCAGGTGGTGCAGTGTGACCGGGACGTGGGCCTGGTGTGCCACAACCGTGACCAGCAGGGACCCGAGGGGCAGTGCCTGGACTACGAGGTGCGCGTGCTTTGCTGCCGAGTGCCCGATGGCTGCCCCACCTTGCCACCTGTGACCACGACCACACAGGAGGGCACCACCAGCCACAGCCCATCACCTGAGGCCTCCACCAGAGGAACCAGCGAAACCTCCACAAGCATAGCAGCCTCCAGGAGGGCAGTCAGCTCACACTCTGTGCACACAGCCCGCTCCTCCACCACTGAGACACCCAGCACCTCCTCCATCAGCACAACCACGTCCACTTCTGCTTCCATCTCCACGGCCACCTCCACGGCCACCTCCAGAGCTCAGCCCAGCACCTCCTCCACCTCCAAGACCACCTCCACCTCTAGCATCACTTCCACCTCCACCCCTAGCTCTACCTACATTGGTGCCTCCTCCTCCCCATCCACCACCACCTCCACCCCTAACACCACCCCCACCTCCACACCTAGTCCCACAGCACACCACAGCACCACCACCATCCCCACCACCACTACCCGCTCTGCTTCTACCTCCACCATAAGATCCAGGTCCCACACCCTCACCACTCCTGTCTCTGGGCCCACCATGAGTCACACATCCTCAGTCACCATCTCAGGCCCTGGCACCTCAGACTGCAGGCCACAGTGCTCCTGGAGTCCCTGGTTTGACGTGGACTCGCCCAAGCCAGGGCCTCAAGGTGGGGATGTGGAGACCTACCAGCACATCCTCCAGAGGGGACACAGCATCTGCCACCAGCCCGAGGAGGTGACCAGGCTGCAGTGCCGTGCCCAGCTCTACCCCGAGGTCCCCATCGCCACCCTGGGCCAGGTGGTGCAGTGTGACCGGGACGTGGGCCTGGTGTGCCACAACCGTGACCAGCAGGGACCCGAGGGGCAGTGCCTGGACTACGAGGTGCGCGTGCTTTGCTGCCGAGTGCCCGATGGCTGCCCCACCTTGCCACCTGTGACCACGGCCACACAGGAGGGCACCACCAGCCACAGCCCATCACCTGAGGCCTCCACCAGAGGAACCAGCGAAACCTCCACAAGCATAGCAGCCTCCAGGAGGGCAGTCAGCTCACACTCTGTGCACACAGCCCGCTCCTCCACCACTGAGACACCCAGCACCTCCTCCATCAGCACAACCACGTCCACTTCTGCCTCCATCTCCACGGCCACCTCCACGGCCACCTCCAGAGCTCAGCCCAGCACCTCCTCCACCTCCAAGACCACCTCCACCTCTAGCATCACTTCCACCTCCACCCCTAGCCCTACCTACATTGGTGCCTCCTCCTCCCCATCCACCACCACCTCCACCCCTAACACCACCCCCACCTCCACACCTAGTCCCACAGCACACCACAGCACCACCACCATCCCCACCACCACTACCCACTCTGCTTCTACCTCCACCATAAGATCCAGGTCCCACACCCTCACCACTCCTGTCTCTGGGCCCACCGTGAGTCACACATCCTCAGTCACCACCTCACACCTTGGCACCTCAGACTGCAGGCCACAGTGCTCCTGGAGCCCCTGGTTTGACGTGGACTCGCCCAAGCCAGGGCCTCAAGGTGGGGATGTGGAGACCTACCAGCACATCCTCCAGAGGGGACACAGCATCTGCCACCGGCCCGAGGAGGTGACCAGGCTGCAGTGCCGTGCCCGGCTCTACCCCGAGGTCCCCATCGCCACCCTGGGCCAGGTGGTGCAGTGTGACCGGGACGTGGGCCTGGTGTGCCACAACCGTGACCAGCAGGGACCCGAGGGGCAGTGCCTGGACTACGAGGTGCGCGTGCTTTGCTGCCTAGTGCCTGATGGCTGCCCCTTCAGTGAGACCTCTGCCATTGAAACCACTTCTCCAAGGCCTTCCTCCACAATATCCTCTAGTTCTGTGGTCAACTCATCCACATCCTGTTTCTGTCACGTGTCTGGCCAGCTCTATCCTGCTGGTGAGTGTTTTTCTGTGTTGTGCAAGAGGAAGGGATGGTCCAGTGCTTGTGATTCAGCTATTGTCCTTCCCTTCTGTGGCTGTCATCCTTATTTGACTTTGGTACCTCTGATATCGACTGCTGGGTGACCCAGGGTTCCATTCTCCATGGTGCACTGCTGTCTCACAGGGTCAGTCATATACCATCAGAGAGATTTTGATGGGCACTGCTACCATGCCTGGTGCAACTGGGACTGCCACGTGGACAGAGGTGTGGACTCCACCTGCCCATCCCCCACACCAATTCTGCCCACTCACAGCTCTACACCATCGTGCCTAAATGTGCTCCCACCAAGGAAGGTAACCCCTCCTGGCTCTCACGATCCCCAGACATGTCACTTAGGGTCCCATCCTGGAAGGGGCCTGCTGTGGTGTATGGTCTGCCTCCATGTTGGGAGGGCATCTGCCCGCAGGTAGGATGGTGGGGAGCAAGCAGTGGTAAACACTGTGAGACGGCACAGCTGTGGGGCCACGATGGGGTCGGCTCCCAAAGCAGCACCTCTGCCTGCTGGGCTGGGTGGTACCAGGACCGTGGGGTCCCCAGGGCATGGCCTTCTCTGTGGGATCGCAGGGCTGAAGGTAGTTCCGACCCCTGCTGCCTTGACCTCTACAGAAAGGTGAGACATGGGCAGTGCCCAATTGCCAGCAAGCCACCTGCAAGGGTGATGACATCATCTCCCTGGACTCACGCCAGTGCCCAGAGCTGAAGCCACTGACATGCGCCAATGGCTACCCGGCCCTGAAGGTGGCTGATGCGGACGGCTGCTGCCAGCACTACGAGTGCCAGTGTGAGCGAGGGCATTGGTTCCAGCAGCACTCAGGCTGGGCAGCCCATGGGGTGGGGAGTGTGCTGGGGCTGAACACCTGCTTCACAGGGACCGTCTTGCCTGCAGGTGTGTGCAGTGGCTGGGGCGACCCGCACTACATCACGTTTGACGGCACTTACTATACCTTCCTGGACGACTGCACCTACGTGCTGGTGCAGCAGATTGTGCCGGTGTTTGGCCACTTCCGTGTGCTGGTGGATAACGTCTTTTGTGACACAGAGGACGGGGTGTCCTGTCCACAGTCCATCATTGTCGAGTACCATGAGGACCGGGTGGTGCTGATCCGAAGGCTGTTTGGGGGGGCCATGACCAACCAGGTGGGGCTGTGGGGCCAGCGGTTCGGGTTGTGGTGGGGATGCAGAGGATTGTGCTCACCCCATGGCCACGCCCCTGGCAGATCCTCTTCAATGGTGAGGTGGTCGCCCCTGGCTTCCAGAAGAATGGCATCGCCGTGTCCCGCGTGGGCATCAAGATGTATGTGACCATCCAGGAGTTGGGCGTGCAGGTCATGTTCTCAGGCCTGATCTTCTCGGTGGAGGTGCCCTTCAGCACATTTGCCAACAACACTGAGGGCCAGTGTGGTGAGCTGTGGGCCTGCCTGGCATGGAAGAGGGGCAGGACTGCGTACCCCCACCCAGCTGGCTCACCAGTCCTCTCCCCCAGGAACTTGCACCAACAACAAGAAGGACGAGTGCCGGATGCCTGGGGGAGCAGTGGCCACCTCCTGCTCAGATATGTCCCTACACTGGAGAGTGGACAACCCTGACGAGCTCTTCTGCCGTGGGCCACTCCCAACACCCACCTCTTTGGTGCCAACCCCCCCACCTACCGAATGCCCAGCATCGCCCATCTGCGAATTGATCCTGACTGAGTAAGTTTCCTGTCATGGTGGTGAGACAGCCTGGCTTAGGAGGGGCAAGAGTGGCCTGACTCAATCAGCTGCTCAGTCTCTGAGCCTTCACGGCTCACCCTGTGGTCCGCACAGGGGCTACACCCAGCTTTGCCAGCACAGGGGTGTCTGGGGATGAGGCTCTGCAGAAAAGATGCATCTGCCAGTCAGCTGACCTCCAAGTGCGCAGAACGGCTACCCCTTGGGGACATCCCCAGCCTGGGACCCCCACTGCGGGACTGACCAGGAAGGACAGGCAAGGCTGCACCTACTGTGCCATCCCTGCCCCCTGCAGTGTCTTCAAACCCTGCCACGCTGTGATCCCACCACTACCGTTCCATGAAGGCTGTGTCTTTGACCACTGCCACAATATGGAGTTGGAGGTGGTGTGCTCTGGCCTGGAGCTCTATGCCTTGCTGTGTGCGGCCCAGGGCGTGTGCGTGGACTGGAGGAGCTGGACCAACAACTCATGCTGTGAGTGCCTGGCCTGCCTGGGGACAACCTGGGCAGGCTTGTGGGAGGAGGCAGCAGAGGAAGCAGAGGGCCTGCCCAGGGCAAAGTCCAGTGGGTTCACAGGAGAAAGGCAGGCTTCCAGGCTGGGGCCTGTGGCCTGGGGAGCTGGGTGCAGGGAATCTCAGGCCATGGAGCCTGGACCCAGGAATGGTCATAGGCAGCTCCTGGAAGCTTCTGTGCAGATGTTGGGGCTCAGTGGGTGGCCAGGGCTGGGGAGCCCAGAGGTCTGGCCTGAGCTGGCCCATTGGGATCCCCGCCTGCAGCCTTCCCCTGCCCTGAGGACAAAGTGTACCAGCCCTGCGGCCCGTCAGACCCATCCTACTGCTACCAGAGTGACAACGCCAGCTCCCTGTATGTACCTGGGTGCCACTCCACCTGCAGCTGGGAGCTCCAGGCCCCTGGGACTCCTCCGGGGGACAGGGCACCCAGCCAACCCTTCCTTCCTGCAGAGTCCTCCCCAAGGCCTACCGCATCACAGAAGGCTGCTTTTGCCCTGGAAGCCTGAAGCTGTTCAGCGATAGCAACCTCGTCTGTGTGCCTGAAGATTGTCCTAGTATGTGCGGAGGGTGCGGTGGGTGTCTCCTGCCCCACGCCCACCCCATGCATGACCTGTGACTTTGGTCTCTCCCTGCAGGCTGCCTTGGGCCCCACGGGGAGCCAATTCAGGTGCGTGCGGATGGAGGTCATTCTGGGCTCCTGGGGGCCAGATCTTTGGAAAGGCGGGTGTGGGGCTGGGGTGGGGACTTGGCTGCCTTTGGGGCCCCAGGAAGGGAAGCCAGGAGGTGCCCAACATCTCTACCTGCCTGCCTCAGGGAGCTGTGGGATCTGTCTCCTCTGTGTGTGCTGAGCTATGTCTGCGCCCTGCCATTCCTGGGACCCCTTTCGCCAGCCCGGGAATCGTCTGTGCTTTTGAGCCTGCTTGCTTGGACCCTGTGCCCTGAGCCTCTGCGTGTTACCCTGGCTGCAGCTGCCCTGTCCACACAGCCAACCCCAAACACTCACGTGTCCTCCCCACAGCCGGGCCAGTACATCAGTGTGGACTGCCAGGAATGTGTCTGTGACCCAGTCACAAAGTCTATGAACTGCCACCAGAAGATCTGCCCACTGCCACCCGCCTGCCACACGCCTGGCTTCGTGCCAGTGTCCATGATCACCAAGGTGGGCCAGTGCTGCCCCCAGTACAGCTGTGGTGAGTGAGGCTGGGGCCCTTTGTACTGGAGAGAGCTGCCGCTTTCTGCTCCTGGTGACCCCAGGGATGGTGTGTGTGGAGTAGTCTGGTTCCTGATGATGTCACTTCTCTGCAGTCTGCAACTCCAGCTACTGCCCCAAGCCCCAAGACTGCCCCAAAGGCTCCATCCCGGTCCTGACCCACAAGGAGAGGGACTGTTGCCCAAGCCAGTACTGCAGTGAGTGTCCTGTCCTGGCCAGTCATGCTAGCTGCTGTCCCACGGTGCTGCCACCAGATGACCCTTCCGAGTTCCATGGAGGGTGGGCAAGTGGGTGAGACCTGCCTGCATCCAGGGGTCTGGTGGGTGGTGCAGGGTAGGTGCAGCCTTGTGTCTCCCGCAGACTGGACAGCATGCAACATCAATGGGACCCTCTACCAGGTGAGCCAGCCCCGAGGCCCCCAGACTCGGGGCCTTAGAGCCTCAAAGCCCTGGTGCAAACCCCAGCCAGAGCGGCACAATAAACACAGCACAGCTTGGTGAGCCCAGGCCTAAGGTGTCCTGTCCCCCACCGGAGTCCCAGGGGTGATTCCCCGTGGCACCCTGGTTGAGCTGGGTCCTGGCTCCATTTGTGCCAGCTGGGCCCTGAGAGTACTCACTGGCACCACCCTTGGGCATTCTGTGGGCTCTGTACTGGGAGAGGACACCAAGGGCCACCCTGGGGTTAGGGTCAGCCTGGTGGGCTGCTGGGATGCCTGCAAGGTGGGGTAGCACAGCTCCCCCAGCTCTGCTCACTCAGTCCTGGTCCTGTTGCCCCAGCCCGGCACCGTGGTCTCCTCAAACCCGTGTGAGACCTGCCGCTGTGAAGTGCCCAGTGGCCCTGACATGGACAGCTTCATAGTCAGCTGTGAGACCCAGCTCTGCAACACACACTGCCCCATGGTGAGTGCCGGCCCCACCTGCCCCAGCCCCAGGGGCCCACCTGAGCTCAGACCAGCGTTCCCCACTCCACACAGGGCTTTGAGTACCAGCCCCAGGACGGGCAGTGCTGTGGCAAGTGTGTACAGAAGACCTGTGTCATCGCCGGAAATAGCACCGGACACCCAGCCCGCCTACTCTCTGTGAGTTGTTGCTGCCGCCACCACTGAGCAAGGCAGACTCCAGCAGGGTGGGGGACTGGGAAATGTGGCTGGGGGTCCTGGCAGGTTGGGGACAGAGCTACTGTCCGAGCTCCAGAAGGCCAGGTTCTGCCATGGGAACAGAGGCTGTGCAGCTGTCCTGGACACTCACTTTGGTGGGCAGGGCTGGGGACACAGATATAGCAGGTGCAGGAAGGTTCACCTTGTGACCCGGCTCCTTCCAGCCTGGTGAGTCCTGGACCGACCCAGGGGACCCCTGTGTGACCCACACGTGTGAGCGCTACCAAGACGGGCTGGAGGTGGTGACAGTGAAGAGGGAGTGCCCCCCTCTCAGCTGTACGCGGGTGAGATGACCTGCAGGGCCTGCCCGCCCTCCTGTGGGACTGCCCATCCTGTCACCTTCCTGTGGGAGCCTTCACCCCTCCCCCCCACAAGGACCAGCCACCCTCTGGGATCCTGGCTCCCACCCTGCCCCTGCACTGGCCACCCTGTCTTTGGCCCAGGCCCAGGCCCACCTGAGCCAGGATGGCTGCTGCCTCTTCTGTCCACCGACGCCACCAGCGCAGCCTCAAAAGTGTACGTGACGAGACTGCAGGGGCGGGGTGGGGCTGATACTGTCCCGGAAACCCACACCTGTGCCTCCCCAGGGCCCTGTACCCTGCGCCACCGCGAGCAGGTGATCCAGCACCAGAACTGCAGCTCCACCACCCCCGTGCGCCTCACCTACTGTGAGGGCGTCTGTGGGGACAGCACTGCCAAGTACGGCCTCTCCTGCCCTGGGGTTCCTGGTGGTGGGGTGCGGCCAGGCTTGGGGCCAGGGGGCTTCGGGCAAGGTAGGCAGAGGGCACTGTATGGCCTGGAGGCCCAGCTTGATGTGGACTGAGAATGACACCCTGGTTCCCCCTCGGTAACACCTGCTGTGGTTCCAGGGGACACCACAGTGGGGAGAACTGGTGACTATGCCCCCGGGGCAGCTGTGTGAGCAGTTAGGTGGGTGGCAAGGAATGACAGCTGTGCCCACAGGTACTCCCTGGAAGCCAGCGCCATGGAGCACAGATGCCACTGCTGCCAGGAGCGCCGGACCTCGAGCAGGACGGTGATGCTGCGCTGCATGGATGGATCTGCCCGGGCCTTCAATTACACCCAGGTGGAGGAGTGTGGCTGCCGGGGTCTGCAGTGCCAGGCGCCCACGTCCTGGGAAGCAGAGTCCAGGGAGAGCCAGGAGCAGGGACCCAGGCCTTCACAGTGACCCTGCAGCACCTGGAGACACCCCCAAGTCCTCAGACCCCTGCTCCTGAGACCTGGCCCCACCACCTGCCCAATCCACTTGGCCATGGCCTCTTTGTTAGTGAATGGACTGCACTGGCTCTGGGGCTATGGAGAATGGGCGCTCGGTGCAGGCCTTCGGCCATGCAGGCCCCAGTACCACGCTGGGCTCCTGGGTGACAGGCTCAGCCCTGCTAAACCCCTCCTCGGGACACATACGATCTTTGCATAAACGTGTTTGCAGTACTGCACCATGTGTACTCTGTGTGAACCTGCGCGTGCGTCCACACGGGACAGGCGGGTCCACTGCCCAAGCTCATGTGTGCCCAGTGCCAGCAGCCAGTGAGGGCCACCTGGGAGTCCTGCTGCCTGTGCGGTGGGGGCACAGGGTCATGCATTGCTGGGGGACAGGTGAGACCTGCAATCTATGCCACAGGGTTAGGGCCCTGAGGAGCCCAGAGCACAGTGAGAGCGAGGGTGTGAACGGATGCCGAGGGGCTGAGCAACTGGTGAGGGGGTAGAAGAGTGAACACATGACTGTGTGGCATGAGAGTGAATGAATAGTGGCCAGAGACAAGTGGGTGAGAGAGTGACAGGTGATGAGTGAGCAGATGTGTGGGGAGCGGAGGGCTGAGCACACGGGGCGGGGGGGGGGGCGCGGGCAGCAGAACGGGGCCCTCCCACGCCCAGCACATGGCTCCACCTTTGCCCCGAGCTCTGGGCTCCTCCCGAGGCTGTGAGGTGTGTGACATGGTACCCTACTCCAGACCCACAGGCCCTGCGGGTGGCCAAGGCCCTGGGCCCAGCTGTTCCTGCCTCTGCATCCACCCCACACCCTCGCCTTGATGCCTGGGCCCCTCTTCCTGAAGGCCTAGGTGCCCCAACTCCCTGAGAAGCTGGCCATGGTTCAGGCCTGTCACATAGCAGAACCAGGAGGGCCCACGGTCCAGGAGTGGGCACAGGAATTAGGAAGTGACCAGTCCTGGCCAGGTGGTTGGGGCAGAGGACAGGCTAGGCTCTGCCCTACACAACAATGCAGGCTGGGCTGGGGGCACACACCCTCAGTGGGGGAGACCAGGTTGCAGACAGGCTGGATGGGGCCATGTCCCGTTTCAGGGGAAACCGAGGCCCAGCAAAAGGGTGGACACTGGGCTGGCATTCCCTCCCCCGGGTAGCCAGTGCCCCAGCCCAGCCCTGGGCATCTTTGCTCCTTGGGGCTGCCATGAGGTAGGGTCTTGCCTAGTCTGCCCCCCAACCCTGTGTCCTATCTTTCCATTCTCTACTTGCTCAGGTCATAGCTGACACAGGAGCTCGCCTTCCTTTAAGGCACACAGCCTTGGGTTCTGCAGTGATGTTCGAGGCACTGCATGCTAAGGTCCCATGGAAGGACCTTGGAGGTCGGGGCACAGCTGTGTCCAGCCCCCGGATGACAAGGCCACACAAGGCCTTGACTCCACGCCTCATTGTGCCACTTGCATCAGGGCAGCCTGGCAAGCCTGAGTGTGGGTTCCACCTAGGTGACTGAGCTCTGCTGGTCCCGTCCCTGAGCTGCCCCTGCGGACTGGCCATTGGCTCCCAGCTGTGCCCTGGGCTCCAGGTGGCTGGCCCTGAACTTCTGCTTGGGTACCTGGCTGAACCCACCGTCCTCAGCTTGCCAAGGCCCTGATCAGCACTGCCCCCGGAGCGGATCAGGTGTCCCTCTTTCTCCGGGGTGGACTCCTTGGTGACTAATCCTCTACCCCCCAGACATTTGCTCCCGTCACTGCATCCCTCGTCCCTCCCTGCCTGGAACATGGCATAGCAGGAAGTAACCCTACCGCACATCCCCAGGTGGGAACAGCTGCCCTCCGGCTGTGGCCCTGGCCCTGGCCACAGTCCGGCAGATTGCGCAAGTCGCAGACAGGGAGTGCAGAGCTGGCTACAGCCCCCACCCTTGGGGATCAAGGGGGTGGAACGACCTGTCATTTGTCACCGAGGCAGCAGGCAGAGCCTGGGCAGGGCTGGCCTGGGGAGGCTTGGATTCAAGGTCTGCCCTGATCAATGTTGGGGGAAGCACCGGTCATGACCTCTGCAAGGCAAAGGGCCAGGACTCCCTGGCAAGATGACTTGTGCAGGGCTTGGATGAGCCCCTCCACCAGGCCTCTCACTCTGAACCCCCAGGGTGGCGCTCACAGACTCTATCCCAGCTCTGACGTAGGGGGGCTGCTTTGCTGGAGACCCGAGCCAGGCACCAGGGCCCTGGGGCTACTCCGAGGGGAGAGCGCAGGGGACCTGTCTAAGGGTCAGAGAGAAGGAAGGAGCTGGGGGAGGCTCCCCGGGCAGGCATGAGTGTCTGCTTCTCCTGCCCTCAGGGACAAACACTAAGGGACAGAGGGCAGGGCAGAGACCAAGATGTACCTGTGGTGCCCATAGAAGAGGCCACTGCAAGGGGTCACAGCAGCAAGCCCTGGGGTAACTAAGGGTCCCAGCCACCACTGGGTCATGGCCTGTGGTGATAGCTGCTGTGAGCACGAGGGAGCACAGTATAGACAGAAGCCAGCAAGGCTGTGGACCTGGGACAGGGGCCACTTCTCCCACTCTCCAGTCACCTTCTGTTATCACCAGTGACTTGGTGACCACCCTGTACCGCCTCGCCTGCACCACCTCCAGACCTGGCTGAGTGGCTCCCAGGTGACAGCTGTCTCTGCCACGCCCCCACTCGTGCACTGAGCCCTTGGTCTGGGTAGGGTGGGGATCCCCACGGTGGATCTAGAAGCCCCAGGTTGTGGGCCCCTCGGCCACTCCACTCACTACACACTGCTTCCCAAGCTTGGCTCTGCCCTGATGTTTGGTGACTGGCAGGCGCAGGACAACCTGGGCACCAAGGCCAGGGCCAGCACTCTTCCTGGGCTTGTATCCCTTCAGGGGATGCCCTGCAGCACAGGTTGTGCCCCCCTTCCTGGAGGGGACTGGGCTGTGTCTCCTGGCCAGGCCTGGTCCTCCCTGGGCCCAGAGGCCAGGGGGGTGGGCTCAGCAACAATGGGGCCAGCAGGTCCTGGGTGTGGATGTCCAGCAGCTTTGGTGCCAGGTGCATCTGTCAGCACCGGGCCATCGGGAAGGTGGCTTCTGCTGCCTAGGGCCCCTCTGCAAATCCTGCGGTGCTAAGTCAACATGGGGTTCCTGGAGGGAAGGGAGGGCCTGTTTGCCTGTGACATTTGGCACCTTCATCCAGGGATGGGATGCTGCACCCTGCTGTTTGCTTTCCCAAGAGCTGTCTAATCCTGAGCAAATGCAGCGGCTCTGGCTCTGTGTAGCCCTGCCCCGCATCCTGAGGAGCGACAGGGCCCTGGCCCCATCTGGGACCACGGGTGTGGAGGAGCAGGGAGGAGGACTAAGTACCCATGGCTGCTGGGACTCCGCATGCTGCCAGGGCGGGTCTGGTCATGGTCCTGCGCCTCTGCTGCCCAGAGACAGCACCCCTCCCCTCGAGGGCCCTTTCCTCCTCCCCGTCCGGAATTCACCTCCATGTCCAGGTCTGGGTTAAGCCATCAGGGCAGTCCTTCTCTGATGGCCCACTGGTCGGCTCTTCAAATCACAATCAGTGCCAAGATTTCTGGGGACTTTTTCTTTTTCTTTAATTTTATGGAAAAATATAAAACAAAATTTTGAAACAATAGCATAACAATAGTTAATACATTGCACATTGTTATTGTCAAAATCGTTACTCAGAGTACAAGATATGGGCGTGAAAACTTCTCCAAACCATAGTAGCACAAACCTTTCAGTGAACTAGGAGAAACTCAGTCTAACAAACTTAACTATCTTGCGTGTTTTTCCCTTTCCCTTCCTACCGCTCCCCTTCCCCCACTCTAGCTCCTCTTTCCTTTCGGACAGTGTCTTCCCATTTCACAATATCTATTGTACATCATTTACACTTCTTCTTGATACGATTCTGAATTTATAGATAAAGTTGCAGAAATACAGCAGAGGCCAGAGTGCCCTGTCGCCAGTTCCCCCGGGCCCAGTGTGCATTCTGTTCTCGCTCTTTCTGCACGCACGTGTTTCTGGACCACTGGTGTTTCACACTCATGTCCCTCTATCCTCAGACACACAGGTGTTCCCTGGCATCGCACCCAGAGGAGCACACAGCAGTCCAGACCTGGGCCATCACCCAGGCTGCACCTGTCACAGCCGCTCATTTCTTACCCAAGTTGGTCCAGGGCTGAACGCCACAGGAGTCATGCTTTGCTCCTTCTACTCAGACTCTGTGGCTACAGACCTGGCCTCATGAGGAATGTTAAGGCTAGTGCATGCTTCGGTGGGACCCAGCAGAGCCGAGTCTGTCCCGGACTGTGGTGTCCAGAGGTACGAGACGCCAGATGAGACGCCAGATGCCCACCTGCGTGGTGTGGCTCAGGGCTTCTCCACTGGTAGGTACCACTGCCTGGGGAGTCAATGAGGGCCTTCCGAGGTGCTGGGCCACAGGCTCCCAGCCCACAGCCTGCCCGCCGAGACTGCTGCATGGGTTCCCAGGGTTCCCTGTTGCTCTGCTGTCAGAAGGGCTTTCTCTTCTCTCCCATTTGTTTGTTTATTTATTTAGCTTTCATTAATCTGTGTATAGATTCATGGGCTACTATTTTCAGAATGGGATCTTTTAAAAAATAAAAATAAACCGGCAAAATAGTGTTCCAGAGTTCTAAGCACTCTTTTTCCATAGAAACATCTATGGACCAGAACAAGAAGCTTCCTGGCCAACTTCATCAGGCTCTGGAGGCAGGTTTGCAGCAAACGAGTAGATGTCCAACAAGGAAAAACTTTTCCAAAGAAAGGGTGGTGGAGGGCGGTTCAACCTACGTCTGTGGCTCCACCCCACTGCGTGGGCAGCCCCCCAGCACCAGGGGGCAGCGGAGCAGGGAGGCCACCTTGCAAAGCCTGTGCTGTGGTTTTGACCTGCGTGGTGGGCGCTTGGAGCACTGATACAAGGCGCCAGCTGTCTCACTGAACTTGGAACACAGGTGGGAACAGTGAGGGCACTGCTTAGAACAGTCTTGCCTTTGGCAGACTCTCAGAATCCTGGGATGAGAGATTACAGCAGGAGACATCTGGCAGACCCTCAAAGGCCCAGATAGCCAGGGTAACAGCCTCAGGAGATCGGGACACCCATGAGCACCCCACTAATATACAGCAACTTTAGAAAGCTGTGGTTACGCCCAGGCAAGATTGCACCTGTGGCTGGTCCCTGGGCTCAGATGAGCCCATCTCAATGCCAA